TTTTCTTTCTTGATGTTGAGATGCAATCCATTTTGAAGGCTGCAGTCCTCGAGCTTCTGCAACAAATACTTCAAGTGCTCCTCAGTTCCAAGGGGCAAGGCTTTGTCATCTGAAAAATATGGGTTGTTGATGAATTGTCCTCCAATCTTGATGCCATGTTCTTCTTCATAAAGCCCCCTTTCTTGAATGAGTTGTTTAGCATATAGATTGAAAAGGTATAGAATTTGGGGGAAGGGGCAGGGAAGAGAAGTTTATAAACTACAGAAAAGTTCCACCACTCTTAAGATAATTATTTGGAGTATATGTTAATCTCCTTTGTCTGCATATATGTGTACACACGTTTTTATGTTTAATGAGAATCCTTTTAAGAATCCTTGTGCAAAAAAGTTAAACATTCTGTTATTTTTGTTGGTATTGTGTGCCATCAACTCACCTGCAAGTCATAGTGACCCTATGTACAATAATAGCTCTGAAGCCTGCCACATCCTGAGCCAGTCTCAATGACTCTGATATACCTACCCCCATTGCCCTAGTTATTGTATCAATTCATCTCATCCAGAGTCTTCCTCTTCCTCACTGTCCGTCCACCCTTCCAAGTATGATGCCCTTCTCCAAAGATGGGTTCCTGCTGCTGACATGCCCAGAGGAGAAACTTGGTTTCACCCTCTCCAAGACAGAGCTATTTGTTTTCTTGGCAGTCCATGGAATGTTCAAGACTCTTCTCCAGCATCACAATTCAAAGACATCAATTATTCTTCTATCTTCTTTAGTCATTATCAAGCTCTCTGATACATGCAAGTAATTGCAAAGACCATGGACTGAATCAGGCACACCTCAGTCTCAGACTGACGTCATTGCTTCTCAGTACTTTGGAAAGGTCCTGACTGCAGATTTTCCCAATGCAACTCACCTTTTGATTCCATGACTGCTGGTGCCAAAAGTGTTAATTGTAGAGCTGAGCAAGTTGTAATTGCTAATAATCACAATCTTTTCTCCATCCATCATGGTGCTGCCAGTAGGCCTAATGGTGAAAATCTTTGTCTTCTTGATGTTGAGCTTCAGTCCATATTGAAGACTACCGTCCATAATCTTTTACAGCAAACACTTCAGGCCCTCCTCAGTTTCAGCAAGCAAGGTTGTGTCATCTACAAAAAAGACTGGAAGTTCAAACTCATGCAGAGACATCTCAGGAGACAGGCATTCTCAGGCATTCTGAGAGATCATAACCATGGGTATCCTTTGCAGTAGTTCTACTCTGGACCCCAGGAATCACAAAAAGAAAAAAATCAAATCATGTAAACTAACAACAGCAGTAATCTTTTCACATCAGCACAGCCATACCTCTTAAAAGTTTTCACTTTGCAGCTGAAGATAGTAGTTGATAATAATGATAAACAAGATTTAGAAATAATAGAGTTTAGTATAATCAATCATAATTTTTGTGGCTTAAATTGTACTTATTCTTGAAAATTTCTCAGCACTCCTCAAGACAAATAGATTTGAGGCTATGATCCTAGCATTTGTGATCCGAACAATTTACTGAAGCCTAAAGCACCTTTAAGTCTGTGTTGCACATTTTTCTTGGTTAGCTCCAAGAGACTTAGACAGTATGTGTATTGAAAACATTGCCATTGTCTGCATCGAGAGTGTTCATAATAAATAGTTTTCGGAGGTATAAGCATTATTTACTGAGAAACTGTCCTCCCAAAGGTGTTTTAAATTGGGTAGAAACTGTTGCTGGTCTTCAGTGGTTTACTTCCAAATAGTAATATATTGTATGTGCTAGTTCATCTAAACACCGAATCAGCAAACTGTCCTCAACAGCCACATCAGTCTGTTCTCGACACATTCCCCTACAAACAGAATATGTAATATCTAATAAATGAACGAATCACAGAATTATGTGCAATATCCCATAAAAAATCAATAGTGCTGAGGTTCTAAATGCTTATTACAGTTTTTAAAAGGAAAACAAATAATACAAGCAGAATCTGATTTTTCTAATCCCCTAATGCAAACCAAAATAAGCCAGGAGTGGGTCCATTCATCCTTTCATCACTAAGCTATGAATGAAACATAAGAAATCAGCATGATGCACTTGGGATGGATGATCCTTTAAAGATTGTTTACCACAATTTCTTTTTATTCTTTGCAGTCTTTTCAACGTATTTGACGTAGTGATTCATGCTGTTCTCTGAGCTCATCCTAAAATGAGCTTTCTAGAGTCAAGAATGTATTATTCAAAGTAATGAATAGAAGTGTTGGGTTCCAAGTAGGGATACATGCTTATAGTCAGTAGATATCAACAGATGTATATCAGAGAAAACACAATTTGGGGGGAAAATGAAATAAAAAATTAGCATTAGAAAAAAACAGTGATCTAGTTTTATAATAAAAATGTTGTTGTTGTTATGTGCCGTCAAGTGCTTGCAACTCATAGCAACCCTATGTACAACAGCTTTAAACACTGCTCTATCCTGTGCTAATCTCACTGCCTCGGACACACCCATCCTGATTACCCCAGTCACTGAATCAATCCACATCATAGAGGGCCTTCTCCTTCTGCGCCGTCCCTCCACCCTCCCAAGCATGATGTCCCTCTCCAAGGACCTATCCCTCCTTACAACATGTCCAAAGTATGTCAGACGAAGCCTCAGAACACTTGCCTCCGAGGAGCAGCCCGGTTTAGCTCTCTCCAGGATG